GCAAGTCCCCAAACTTTATTTCTACATTATTCAATCAGACAAATGAGTCACCAGGCTAGACCACATTCAAAGGGAGGAGAAGTCTCAGTGGGAAGAGTTGCAGAGAATTTGTGCTCAGCTTCAATCTAACACATATTGCTGTAACAAAGAACCCTTACATTGCATTGTTATAATTAGGTTTATCTCTCACTTAACAGTCTAACGTTATGCGAGGTCAACTTCTTTTGCTGTCATAGATCCAGCAGGTCTGTGGGAGAGTTGCTGCCTGGGGGTCAGCAGGAATGTTTTCATGAAGAGATCATTCCTGGCTCACTTACTTTAGAGATGGTAACTGGCACAACATTGAGATGTCTGGGAGACCTTTGGGGAGAGAAGTGTTAGGACTAGGGTAAGTCCTTGCAGACGCAGTGGTCCCCAGGCACTTGGCTATACCCAGACTATGATAAAGATGTTTTCCCAGGACCACAGAGCACAGCTGTTTCAATGGGCCTGGCTCACCTGGAAGTTGTCAGATGAAAGAGGATTTGAGAGTATGGGACTGGGAAGCCACACTGTCACTGCTTCAGTGTGGCCCTATAAACTTGCTCAGCCCAAAGAGTTACACAGAGAGGTTCCCAGAGACCAGGCCATGACCTTTATCTGTACATGGAGTCATGGCTGTCATACTTCCAAACTCTTAACTCATGCTGTTCCATCCTCCTTGTATCACCTTGCCTTTCTCCTCTGCAGAGATATCCTTAGTTTCCAAGGTAGGCAGCCTTGTATTCTCCTTGTTCCCTCTGCTGTGACTTGTTCCTGCCTTCAACATCTCTGTTTCCTGGGTCTGAAACTGACTTCTCAGGTTCTGACACATATTTCCTTTGCACCCTTGTACTTCACCTGGATTGGCACAAAGGATGTGTTGTGAATGAGGGTGTGGACTCACCACTAGAGACTTTGGACCTTGAATGACTAGGGAAACCCTTGGGTGGCTGGGTGGATCTGTTCTGGGTGGTGAGATTCAGGTTGTGACCACTTTTGACACTCAGAAGAGAGCTCTTCACATGCTGAGGGCCTTTTGCCAGATGCCCAGGGGGAGGGATGGATGTGTCGGTGCCAGGCGGGTCACTGAGGTAGAGAAGAACAGTTTTCGGCCTCTTTCTGATGGACTGGGGGCATGCAATGGTCCACTGCCCATGTTACAGGGATTTCATCCACTTGACACCCTCCATTCTTATGAAAGGCCCCAGGAAATGTCTCCTCCCACGTTCACCATTTTCTCTAGAGTCCTTCCCCGACCTCTGCCTGCTGAGACCCTGGAACTACTGAGAACTAGTCTTAATCTCAGCTTCTCTCTGCCCTTTACTACCAGTGGTCTGGACCAAGGTGCTTACCTCCAGAATGCTGGTTTAGATTTTTTCATAAATAACATGGGGTTGACAATTCCCACCTTAAGGAATGTTGAGAGAGTAAACAAAATGTGTGTAGGGAATCTAAACAGTGTACAGCATGTGGTGGGGCCTCCCTGAGAGGCATCTGGGGTGACCTACCCAGGGAACTTCCAAACCCAAATGTATTGTGGTTACCTGTAACCATCTCACATCTCTGCTTCCGCTACCCAGAAAAAGGCAAATGACCATCATGTGACAGTAGAGCATGCCCTTCTCTGTGTCTGAAAGTTTTCCTTGTCTGAGCCTCCAGACAGAGCAACCTGCCCTCTCCCAGGTGCCCTGTCCTGCAGACAGGTGAACAGAGTTCCCTGGGCACACCATCAGGAACCACAACCAGAAGTTTGCTTTAAGACAAGACCAACAAAGAAAATGGAGGCTACCAGTGTGCTGGGAGAGGGGGAGGCCAGAAATATCCAGAGCAGGGTCCTATACCTTGGTCACCACATCATATCTGCCAGGCAGTCTTAACCAAATATCACCAAAGCCTCCAACCTCTCTGCCTGAGGTCAGGGAGTTTTCTGAAAAGCCAGTCTGAACAAATCACTCAACTCCTCCAAAACACTCAAGGCCTCCCTTGCCCAGTGTGTGGAGTCTGGTATTTAAAGATCCACAGTCCGGTCTCAGTCCACATATACTGCCCATTGCCCTACTCCCTGTGCCCCTGCTCCACAAGAAATCATTTGCCATTATACTTGCAAGGAAGGGGTCTTCCTGCAGTGCCCTGCCCCTTCATTGATACATGTCCACTTCCTGCTGCCTTCCCAGTCTACCTTGGATTAAAGTCTTCAGAAATGCCCTTATCTCTCTGGCTCTCAGAGCACTTCGGTGATCTTTTCTTACAGTCTGAGTCACGGTACTTTTTTCAGTTTGTTCATATCATGTCTCTACCCCTGGAACAGGCATACCCTAGAGAGGAACCCGATGCCTGACTCTGGCCCACCATTGGTCTTGACCCCACGTCACTCCAACAGGAAAACACAGAAGATGAGATAGAAGTGCCATCTAGGAGGGCTTCCAGGGGTGCAGCCAAGTAGCTCCAGGACAGAAGCAGGGTCATAGGTTGAGGCCACAGGCAGACAGATGGATGCAGGGGACTGAAAGAAGGACTTTATGTTGGTCTGTCTTGTCTCAAGCTTACGTACTGACCCTTTGTTTCAGCCACCAGGTATCAAAATAACTCTCCACAAGCCTAATGGATGCCATTTAGGGAACCAGACTAAGTTTCCAAAATTGCTCCCTGCCACCTGCTGGACATTTGCCACAAGCCTGTGTAAATCTACAAAGACTCTGATGTGAATGAAACCCTGGCCAAAAATTAATAAGCTATTTCACTGAGCAACTGTGATGTACTTAGCATAATTAGCTTACTCAATCCTCATAGCCATTATGTTCAAGAGAGATAATGAGGAAACTGGGGCTCAGAAAGATCGAGTGACTTGGCTATTAACTAACAAAGGAGAGATTAAAATGCACGATCTAACCTAGGACTTCGTGGTTGGTTGGCTTATTAGTTTTGCTTACACTCGCTGTACCTCAACTTCCTCTTCTATAAAATGAGGATAACATAGCACCCTCCCAGAAGAATTTTGTGATAATTAAAGAAGTTAATAAATGTTAAGTGATGAGAACAGGGCAGGATACATAGTGAAAAAAAAATAAGTGAACATTTGTCTACAACACACACACATGTACTACACACAACATACCACACACATGCCACATATAACAGATACACTATTACACAAATATACCACTCACAACATGCACCTACACACATACATACCACATACAACATGCTCACCAACACAGACATGCACGCACAACACCAATTGCATACATACCACATGACATGCCAACACATGCATGCTACACACAAAACACATGTGCACACGTTACATAGCACACCCACACACTGGTAGACAGTAAAAACTGGTAGACAGGAAACTGCCCACCATCTGTGGCCAGAAATCTCAAATTAGGTCTGTAGGTCTTTTATATTATGGTTTGTGTGTGTCCTTGTGAAAACAACACAGCCTCTTTTTCCTCCCTGTGAAACGGGGAGTATGGAATTCCCTGTGTCACAGGGCTGCTATAAGGAGCCAGGATACATAAGACCATTATCTGTAAGCCATTAAGTGCCCTGCAGGTTGTGCTGGCACTATGGAGGAGGGTGTGGCTAACTAGCATTCCCTTCTCCTCACCAAGGTAGAGTCAGCGAGCAACCAGGACCTGCCGAAGACAGAGACACTGGATCCTCCACCACTCTCAAGCACAGGGGAGCCTCCATCAGCAGGAATACATGGGTGCTCCCCTACCCTTCCTTGATAAAAGAGGTCCCCTTCTCCCTGGAACATTTCTACAATCCCCCCAAAAGTAAGGGTGAAGGTGCTGGTGGCCTAAGTAGGGGGCTGCACTCTGCATTTCAGGAGGCATCATTTCTGTGGTGAGCAAAGGGCTCAAGCCACCCAGGGCTAGAAGCTTACACAGCTCCTCTGCCAGGGAAGAGAGAAGGCATCAGGCCTGAAGATGCCCATGAGCAACAGAGATGAAGGGCCACTCACAGCCAAATCTGACAACCCTACCTGCCATCTTTGAGTTTCAGGGGTGGGATAGGGCAAGGTGGCAAATACCAGGGTGTGTCATCTGAGCCCAGAGAGAGAAATGTAGGTGCATGGAATATGATCACTTAAGTCCAGAAAGAGGTCTGATTTGTGGACCAACATGGTCCTAGAAGAAGGTGTGTGGACATCTGAGTGCTATCTGGGAAATGTTTCAACCAGTGAGTAGATGGGGTCAGAGCCATAGCTGATTGAGTGAAGCTGTTAGAGCAAGAGAATCCCTGTCAGCAGTTAATAGAGATACAGCAAGTATGCAAAGGTGTGTCCAAGACAAAATTCACCTTGGAAAAATGGAAGATTAAGTGTTTGACACAAGTGTTTGAACACCAATTGCCAAGAAAAGACAAGAGGGAAATGAGGCTGAGCACATCCCATGTCAGAGCAAAACCTCAGGAGTTTAATCAGCACTGGGTCCAAAGCAATGAGCCAGGACTGTGAGATGCAGCTGCCAAACCTGCAAGTGAAAGCAAGGTCATAAAAACAGCAGGAACAGGCAGGTCTCATCCATGGCCAAGCACTGAAGCTCAGACACATAGCACACATGAGCATGAGCCTGTGCTTGCAGGACAGTGAAGGCCCTTGATGCTAGGACACAGAGAATATAGCTATAGGACAGGGTGTTTGGTGTCCTGTCATCATGGGCTGTCTCTTGGGGTTCTTAGGGATGGTGGCATGGCCAATGCAGGCAGAGAAGAATAGCATCTGTACTTTGGGAGACTGTACTAAGAGACCTCTGGGGTTCTGCCTGAAACCACTATAGTTTCCAAAGACCAATTCAGAAGACTCCTTGGTCTCTTGTATCTTCCCAACCACCAATCTCTGTGCCCCATGGGGAACAGTCCCCGGGACCAGTCCCCAGGGAACCAGTTCACTCCATGGCCAAGGAGCCCTCCTCAGGCCAGAGCTGTAGCTGGAGCACCTGGGCCACTCTCCCCTTTCCTCTCTCCCTTAGTGTTGATCGGCGTGGGCACTGAGACCTTCCTCCAGGGGCACTTCAAAAACTTGGCTTTCTACCTGCTGTGAGTATGTGGAAGTATGTGGACATATGCCCTTCCCTGCCTACATACTGGGCCCCAGCCCACCCTGAACCTGTCTTCCCAGATTAACCCAGAGTATCCTATCCTTTCCCATAAGTCCATTGTATCCCAGAGATGGAAGGACTAGAGGATGCCTTAAAATATCCTCTGTTTTGAAAAGGACTTTAGTCAAACAATCCCATAAATCAAACAACTGTCCCTCCATCACTAACCCACACAACCTCCCATCCACCCATCCATCTATCCACCCATTCATCTCTTCAATAATTTCTTAGTCAGCAAACATTAACTGAGCTCTTATTTTAGAGAGAGGGGAATCTGAAAGGACTATAAATTTGGGCCCATCTCTATGCCACGCACAGTTAAATGCTTTGTTTACATTTAACTCTGACAGCTCTGTAGAAGTGAATAGTGTCCTAATTTTGCAGATGAGAAAATTCAGTGGGGATAAGCAGCTCAGCCCATATCACCAAGCTCATGAGCCCCAAGGCACAGACTCATAGGGTCCTAGTCCATTTATTTCCCCAGCCTCTGTCCTTTCTTCTCTGACAGCTGTCTCTGCAAATAGCTCCTGGCAGGGAGCAGACTGTGGTGCAGTGGTGTCCCAGGGAGGGAGGAAGCCTGGCATCCCTGTAGGCTCTGACCACCCAGCTTCTCAGCAGCCTGATCCTGAAGGACACAGGGAGCCCAAAATACCTGTGGGGTCATCAGCAAGATGCATCCTCTTCTCCCCTACCCCTTCCCCTTCATGTCCACCTTCATCACAGTGACCTCATCTGCATGGTAAGGAGTACCCCCTGCTCAGACAAGCTCTTCAGTGGGTAGAGTGGATCACATCCACCATCTTCCAACCATGTTCCAACCTCCTGGTATCTTTCCACAATGCCATAACATCAGCTACCTAGAAACACAGGGCCCTCTGAAGACTTTCAATGGCTGCCACAGCCTCCAGGCCATACTTCTTTGTAATCTTCTGACCTCCACCTTATTTCTTGTCACTCAGTTTACACCCCAGGAGGTTCCAACTCTTTCCCAAACTCACCCATATCACCTTACAGGTTAAGCTGTTGTTTAACCTGTCAGGCATCCAGGGTGCCTTTTTATCCACTTCAGCATTCCCAAAGCATTCCCAAAGGATTCCTTCCTGGTATTCTGCCTTGAGACCCCGCCTGTGCCTGGGACCCCCACTGGCTGAAAGTGACTTTTTGCTCTAAAGGTCTCCCATGTCTTACTGAGCCTGTCCCAGCCACTATGCACTGTCTCCATAGAGCCCAGAGGCAGGCCCTGGACTTCCTCGTCTCCCTATGGTTGCCTTGTTCACCCACAAACATTACTAGGGTAAGAGCTGAGGGTTATTATCTTACTATACCAGGTCAGGCTGTGGCCAGTTAATGCTGCCTGCTTTCTGCCTAGCACCCTGCTTCTTCCTGACTGTTCTGCCTGTCTTAAGGGGACACTTTGCCCATCTGGCCTCTCCATGGTCCAGTCCCAAAAGAAGTTATTTCTACCTGTTCCCTGCTCTCCAACCCAGAAGGATTAGCACCCACAGCCCCTCTTATCCGTCCTTCCTGCACTCATGTCCATCCTTTCCTCAAGGGCCATCCAGATGTCCAAATGTCCTGCCTCGCTCTCTTCACTCCTTCCTTCCATCCTCTCCTACGACATACACTCTCCCCTTGAAGATCTTGGACTCCTGGCACTGTGTTCCCTCACACTCAGAGCCTTCATCCATTGCAGCCCACACCCTGTATGAATATCACTGCCTTCTCTCTGTCCCCAGGACCAAGAAGGGACCATGGTCAAGAGTAGGGACCAGAAGGAACTGGCCTGTCATTGGCTTTCCCCTTGGTCTTCTCTATTCCTGCTCTGTAGTTGCTTCCTCTCCCATCTTCTTCCTTCACATGAGGCCTTTCACTGCCTTCCTCACACTTACCCATTGTCTGAAGGTATTACCACTTAAAATATGAAAATATGAAAGTAAGGGTTAGGGAGATACTGGGAGGCATAGGGAGAGTGGGAGAAAGCAGAGGTAAAGTATTAAATGATCACAGTGAGAGAGAGAAAGCAACAATAGTAACTAATATATATAGGGGTGGGCAAAAGTGGGTTTACAGTTGTGAGTATGCAAAATGCAGAGTTTATTCTTTTATTGTTATTTATTAATATGCATTTTCCCATATGAACAACTATAAACTTACTTCCTTGTACCCCAATATCTGTATATAATGAGCACTACATGCCAAGCATATTTGAAGGGCTTTAAAAATATCAACACATTGCCCTGCTGCTGTGGATTGAGAGCTGGCCTGTGAACCAAAACATTGCTGGTTCAATTCCCAGTCAGAGCATATGCCTGGGTTGCAGGCCAGGTCCCCAGTTGGGGCACTAAAGAGGCAACCACACATTGATGTTTCTCTCCCTCTCTTTCTCCCTCCCTTCCCCTCTCTCTTAAAATAAATAATCTTTAAAAATAAAAATATCAACACATTTAGTCCTTGTAACAATTTTATTGTTGAAACACAAGATTTACTCTCAGAAAACTGAGGCACAGAAAGGTCAAGCCCCTTGCCTATGATCACACAGCTGATCAAGAACAATGCCCAAGACTCTGAGGAAACCCTTCCCCTGAAAGGCAACAACTCCTCTCACTCATTCATTCACTTCAATGCAAGTCCATAAAACACTTAATCTTTCCCAGAGTAGGCTCAGGCCACATGGAAGAATTAGAGACCACCAGAAGACAAGGGGAGAAAGGAGAAGTTCTTCCAATAGAAGCATGCCTGTGCAAAGGCCTTGTAGCACCTGGTCATTTTCTGAGTAGTCAGAAGAATATGGAAGCTCATGTCAGCCTTTAAAAGGAATGCTAAGGAGTTTAAATTCTAGGCCAGTGAGACTCTCCAATAAAAAAATAGAAAATCTGGGACTGGCCCAGGAATCTACTACTTTACATATTCCCCAGGGGATTCTTATTGGAGGGTCTCTGGACCACATTTGGATCATGAGGACACTGAGAAGAATTCTAAATTGCAAAGAATATGATCATATTTGGGTGTCAGAACAACCTCTTGAGGCAGCCTTTGGTGACAAAGTGGAGCAGTGTGCAGGAGGTGAGGGCCAAGGAGTTAGGTAGGCCAAAAGCGGGAAGGTGGTACAGGTGTCCCAGGGGTAATGTTCAAACTCAGGCAAAACTTCAGATGAGACCAGAGAGAATGCAGCTGATTCTAAGGCTATTTAAGGAACACAGTTAGCCTGTCTTAGTGACTTTTTGGATGATGAGAAAAGAGGGAGAAGAAAATGGATTCAGCTTTAAGACTCACACTCAGGTTGTAGCTGTCTGTCCTGGTGACAGTAGGTGGAAGAACATCTGCCAGTGTCCACACAGAGGTGCTGTGATCAAGATGGCCTCTCATGCTGGCTTGCAGCTCCCTTCTCACCTATCTCTGGGCCCCAGGCCCCAACTCCTTCACCACCACAGCCCAGCACAAGCCAGCACAGGCCCTGGCATCAAGACAGCTCCTGGTGGAAGCTGGTTGGGTGACGAGATTAGGTCAAGAAACTCCAGGTCAGTTGGTCAGCTGCAGCTACCCAGGAGGCCAAGGTGCTGTGTGTGAGAAGACGGCACACAGGAAAGTGAAGGGAGTATCAAAGGATGCCCAACCTCCCTCACCTGTCTCATCATAGGTTTACAGGAGCCACCGTCTCCGTGTGTGAAGGGGCCTATTTTGTGGCTCAGACGCTGACCATCTGCTTTCAGTAAGTAGTCTCTACTGCCAAGGGATCCTTGTCTCTTCCTGGGGGCTAGAGAGGGAAAAGCCCTAGGCTTAAAGGGGCATTTTATCAGCTCTGGAACCCCTCTAGCCCAGCTCTGGTCTGGTCTCAAAAGAATTGACCACCAGAGGGAATCAAAGAGCCATGGCAAGCAGTTGGGTGTGGAACAAGGGCCAGCCCCCATCACTCCCCAAAGCCAGCCTGGGCAGGATGAAGTTGTGCCCTGCTCCAAGCCGATGTGGAGAATAAAAAAGATGGACCTAAAGGCAAGTGCTTCCCTCCTTTGAAACCCAGAGATAGTGACCCTGAAGAAACCTGCTCAGTACCATGCCTCTGTCAGGTCTGCGTATGGACTCTGTATGCCAGTTAAGAAGCCTCTCTGGGCCAATGTTATTTCATGCCTAAGCAAGTCTTTGGAAGCAGGGTGCAGCTGGATTCCAGCCTGTTCACCCACATAGCCAAGCCCTTTGTGCAGTGCACAATCCACATAACCATCCCAGACAGGTGTCTCCCATACTGCCCACCTTCTCCACTGTGCTGTGCGGACTTCCCAGGGGACCCCTGAGTCCCCTACTCTACTTTCTACTGCCTTTGCAGCCCCTCTTGGGGTAACAGGCAAGACCCCTAACTGTGGAACTCCTAACTGAGAATTCTCACCCTAGGGGTGTTCAGCCAGGGGCCACTGCAGAGAACATCGCCACAGAGGAATACCACCCCAGCATCCTGTAGCCTCATGGAAGGCTGAGGCTTTCCTGAGTCTCTTTCTGCTTCCCACTAACCCTGAACTCCTTCCTCCCAGGTGTCAACCAGGATCTTGGGCCTACAGAGCAAGGGAGAAGGCCCAGTGGCTGGGCTGCTTCCAGAAGTTCCTGACCTACATGCTGCTGTCTGTGGCCTGCTTCCTCCACCCTGTCCTGGTCTGGCATGTGACCATCCCAGGTAGGAGTTCCAGGAGGAAGTGGAGGCAGGCAGCCCCCACCACACATAGGCAATGAGCAGGAAGGGCTGAATCCTCCTCATTTCAGCCAGCAGCAACACTGGCTCCAGGGCCTCTACTCAGCCCCCTGCCTAAGCTCTGGCTTAGATCATGGGGCTGAGGATCTGTCCAACTTCTCCATGCTGATTAAGTGGCAGGAATGTCCCTTAATCTTTCATTAAGTATCCAGAGGCTGCCCCTCCAAAAGGGACCTGGCCTTCCTTTCAGAGCCAGTGTAGGGATTGAGCTTTCAGAGGGTGAGAGATGGTCATTACTCTGCACAGACCCACCCATGTCTTCCCAGTGCCTGATTCAGTCCAAACTCCTCAGCCTGGTTGGGAGAGCACATCATGACAGGACCCCAAAAGACCTTCAGAGCCACAACATCTTCCTCCACATCACCTCACAAACCCTACTGGTCAGCCTGGTTCCTGATCTCAGAAGCTAGGACTCATATTTTCACCTCCTGGGTTTTGTCCGTGACCTTTTCTGCTAACAGCCTCCTCTGCCCTCCTTCTAGCTGTGAAATTTTGCCCCTCATCATGACCCATTTAAATGCCAGAACACAAACTGCCCATGGAGACAAGGTTGAAAACCAGAGTCTCCTTTTCCTTCCTACAGTTTCTCTTAATGTACCTGTCATGGCTTCTGAAGGCCACTCTGCTGGGCTCTCAGGTGGAGCAGGATTCAGCACTGCAGAGACTAGAGCAAGCCACTACCTCCTGTTCCTTGGAAAGGGAGAGGGTCCCAAGAGGCTCACCCTGACAGGCAGCACGGCCACCTTCTCCTCTTCCTCTGGACAGGGCAGGACTCCCAGAGCTGCGAGTCTCAGCCTGGAACAGAGGGTTCACTGGCCTGAATGCTGCATGAGGGGCCAGGAAAGGAGCCAATGCTACGCCAACCCTACCCAAAAGTATCTGCACTTTTCTCTGTGGTTATTGGGAAGGCTAAAAAGTGAAGTCAGTCTCCCACTTCTGGGATGGGAAGGAAGTCCAGTTCAGCACATGGGGGCCTGGTATCCAATATAGAATCCAGGCCCATTGAAAGTGTCACAGGTCCAGCTCCAGTACTTAAAAGGAGAAGGAAGGCTGTTCAGTCAGCTGCCAGTAGAAAGGGAGCCTCAGGCACAGGGTCTCCTATCTAACAGTCAGCAGGAGGGCCCTAGCATGACACTGGCCCTGCTGACATGCCTCAGCCAGGCACCAGGCCTGCCCCTTGAATCCGATGTGGGTGTGTGAAGACAAGTTAGCTGAGAGGGCTGGAGCACAGGCAGCTTGACTGTAGCCACACAGGTGTGCTCCAATGGCATTTTGGAATTGTGAGTTTGAACAGCCTTTGGCTTTTCTCTAGGCTGCATCTAGTATCCTGACCTCCCAGGTCTCTTCCAGGCTCCATGCTCATCATCACTGGCTTGGCCTACTTCCTTCTCAGCAAGCGGAAAAAGAGCAAAGCTGCCCCTGAGGTGTCGACAACCCAGGAGCAGTACACAGACCCCTCCAGCAGTGCCATGAGCACCACCAGCTCTGGGAACACCGAGCAAACCTACACCTTCCATGGAGCCCTCAAGGAGGGGCCTAGCTCTCTCTTCATGCACATGAAGTGCATCCTAAAGGGGACCAGGAAGCCCAGCACCCTTGAGCGCCCAGATGCTTTGACAGAGCTGACTCTGGAACCAGCTGACTCACTAGCCAAGAAGCAGGTGCATTTTGAAGATGGTGTGGTCAGGATAATCCCAGGACTCACTGAAGGCATGGACAACGAGGACAGTGAGCCAGAGGAAACCACCTCTGACACCACTCCCATCATCCCTCCACCCCAGGCTCCACTCTTCCTGTCTTCTCTCACGGGCACCATCCTCTTCTGAGCTGCTTTGTCAAGCTTGAAGGTGCTTGGCAAGGGGTCTACATAGACTGATGGCTCTGCCTGGAGTTTTCGGGTATTTGTGGGCCCTCCTGGGATCCCGGAGTCTGTGTAGGTCAACTCTCCAAGGCCTGACCAAACATCCTCCAATGGGCCTCTGGGGCCATCAAGTGGCATGATAGGTCCTAAAGCAGCCTTGAGGGAAGCACAAATGAAGACCACACTGCTTCAAACTAATACAGGTTCTTCCTCCTGGACACAGAGTGAGGAAGTCCTTGTGCTTTCTCCAAAGACATCATCACTCCCACTTCACACAAGGGTGCCTCTGCCCCAGGAAAAGGCACCAGGCTTCTGCTACTCCTAACACAGGTCCCAACACTCAGCAAGGACTTTGGCCCAAACCATATCTGAGGCAGCATTCTAGCTCTGAAGGCCCAAGTATGTGCTGGCCACTTATGCACATCCACAGACAAGTGTTTAAGGCAGCCATGGGTCCTACCCCCGAACTGAGATTGCTCAGATAGGGAGAAAAGATCAGGCTGCAGATCCTCAGGGCAAGAGAGTAGTGTCCAGCAGTGGGCTGCATGCTCTGCATGCTCTCAGGCTGGTGCTGGGCAGAAAGAGTCACAGAGCCACTCAGGGGAAAAGTGCTGCTCTGCTCAGGGCAGGGAGAGCCAGACCAAATAAGTGGTGCTTGTTCCGAATGCACCACTGAGGCCTCTCTGCATCCCCACTGCACGAACTTTTCCAAGATTCCAAGTACATTATGTTAACTAAAAGCTCTTGAAAGCCAATGACAGTTTTCAGCCATAAATGCCATAGCACAAGATGCGGTGCCACTATACACAGGGACCACAGAGGTAGCGTCCTGAAGACTCACCCAGCATAGAGAAGTGGCTCTGCCACACTTAGGTGCCTGGTAGCAGATAGGGGATAAACATACGTTTGTACAAAGTAGGAGGGAAGAGAAGGGGAAAAGGGAGGATAGGAGGAAATTGATAAGGCAGGTTAGCTCTCTACAAGCAAGTCATGGAAGTAAGAGTTAACCCAGACTAAGCAAAGACATTTGAATCAGATATTCCTTATTTAAAGGATCTGCAATATGTTTTCATTTCTAAAAAGTGTCCTTTTGTTCATGGGGTTGTTGCAAGGAAGAGCAAACATGCTCTCCTTCATAGACAATCTGAGTTAATGAGAAATTCAATTACATGCTCCTGAGTGAGTGTGTGAGCAGACACCAAGATCTGCAGAGCAGCCCTCAGAACACATCCTTTAAGGTCTAGATAAGAAATGTGTTCATTCTTGTATACTTTTCAACATCCCCTACAAGTTATTTTGCAAATGTATAGAAATAGCCAACCAGAAGCTAATATCATTTTGGTGCCTAAAGGCAGCAAGGGTCTCAGATTAGCAGATCTCTTCCTGCAATAACAGTTCTTTTGTAGACCAAGTGAAAAAAAAGACACATTTCCATAAGCCTTCCATGGTGGAAGTAGTAGAGCTGTTTCTTAAACTGCCACCAAGAAGGGACTTTAGGATCTGAGTCACATTCATGAGACAGTGAATAATATGGAACACAAGTATGGATAGATGGAAATTATGCCAAATTATTAATGGGGAGGAATCGTAGACAGGCCACGTGAGCACAGAAAGAGCCCAAGTGGGGAGGAGCCCAGGCTCTTGCACCTGTCATGTGGAGAAGAGGAATGTGATGAGCATAGCACAGATGCAGGTTGCCTCTGCAGACCCTGATGCTCCTGCTCCATTCTCAGAAGCCTAGACAGCAGAGTTGGATGGATGACCAGTTTACATGCAAGAAGCATGCCCAGAAGTATAATGTCAGAGCTCTCAGATCCCATTTATTAAACTTCTTGTAAACCCAAGATCATTGTTTTTGTTGTGTCTTAGAGGTGAAGGGGGTATTGGAAGTTTCAGGTGATGTACTATGCATGTGACTCTGATACATCTAGGCTTCCTAGTGCCTGTCATCAGTTAAGGGAGAGTCTGATACAGCATTAGAGGTCCAAACAATTACATCTTACCAAGATTAGCAAAGTAAAGTTTTCAAACACTCTTATTGCTGGAAAAGAGGAAATGTCTGAGATGAGATCATTAAATGGACCAAAGCCCTCAGCTCTGTCAGTAGACCAAGCAAGAAATTTGCACCTCCTCATAAGTAGATGGATACCATGTGTTGCCTATCGATTCTCAACCCCAGACAACCACATCTTTATTCACTCCTGTCTTTGCACAGAACCTCATTCTTGCTGAGAACAAAATAAAAGGGCTGACCCTAGTGTGGTCCACATCTCTTTCTCAGCAGAAAGCAGATCAGACATTCTGTAGATGTGAAACAGTAATTGGGAGTAGAAAAAACACTAGGTAGAAAGAACTCATTAAATCTTCCACTAACATGAGTATAAAGAAGTCGTTATGTCTTCCACTAACATGCTGATTGACCCTGGCCAACCCCCTTTACCTCTCTGGTCTCAGTTTCCCCTATTAAGTGGAAATAGCAGAATTTCTCTCGGGATTGGTGCAATCACTTAACAAAGATAGAGAAATGTCCTTCAGATTACAAATCACCCAAGTCGGTGTTGAATGCACTTTTCTTATACCATGGGGTCCTTGCAGTGAGAAAGCCCCAAAGTAAGGAAGCACTGAGGAAAACACCACCAAGACTTATCTCTGGGGCAAGATCAATGCAGATCCAAAGTCTCTTTCTCAAATCCAGATTTCAGTGCTTGAACCTGGAGAAGGTGAAGCCAGCAACCCTCCAGTTTAGAGAGCCATGGTGAACCCCCAATCATGAAGAGCCATGCCTTGGAGGCCACCCAGTATAACTGCTCTCTCCCATCAGTCCTAACAGATTTTTTTAAGTTTTTAAAATATTTTTATGAGATATAATTTACATACCATAAAATTTACCAATTCAATTGTTTTTTAGTACATTCATTATAATGTACTAAACAATTCAAGTACATCACAATTCAAGTCCACAACATTTCATCATGCCCCACAAGAAACATTAACTGATGCTCCCCACCCAACCCCAGCCACACGCTAAGCAACCACTAATCTACTTTATGTCTTTATAGGTTTCCTTTCTGGACATTTCATATAAATGGAATCAGATAAGACAGTCTTTTGTGACTTGCTTTATTCACTTGTTCAAACGTTCACTAAGTGAACATTTTTCTGTTTTAAAGGTTTATGAACCATAATGTTTTCAAGGTTCATTCATGTTTCAACATGTATCTTTATTTCATTCCTTTTTGTGGCTGAAAAATATTCCATTATATGGATATACTACATTGTGTTTATTCATCTGTTGACAGACACTTGGATGGTTTCTACTTTGTGCCTATTATAAATAATGTTGCTATGAACATTGTGTACAAGTGTTTGGATGAACATATATTTTCATTTCTCTTAGATATATACCTAGGGGTGGAATTGCAGAGTTAAATAACTCAGTATTTAACTTCTTAATGAAGTGTTAAACTTCCAAATGAGTCTGTACCATTTTGCATTCCCACTGTATGAGTGTTCTGACTTTCCACATCCTTGTTAATACTTGTTATTTTCTGTCTTTTTTTATTGAAGTCATCCATTTATTATTATTTTGATATGTATTTCTGTAATGACTAGTGGTGCTGAGCATCTTTTCATGTAATTAATGACCACTTGTATATCTTCTTTAGAAATGGCTATTTAAATGCTTTGCTTGTTTTTTAATTAGGTTTCTTTTGGTCTTTTTTTTTTTTTAACTTGTAAGAGTTCTTTATATATTCCAGATATCAGATCCTTTTCAGATATGCAATTTGCAAATATTTTCCCCATTCTGTGGGTTGCCGTTTCACTTTCTTAAAAGTGTCTTTTGAAGTACAAAAGATTTGACTTTGGTGAAGTCCAATTTATCTTTCTTTTGTTGCTTTTTATTCTGTGGTCAGGTCTAATAAATCATTCCTTTTAACCAAAGCTTATGAAGATTTATTTTTACATTTTCTTATAAAAGTTTTAGAATAAATATTAGCTCCTAAATTTAGAAATACAATCAATGTTGAGGTAATTCTTGTGCAAGGTGTGAGGTAGAGTCTAACTTAATTCTTTTACATGGTATCTTGTTATTATAGCGCCCCTTAATGCATTGAAGTGTCTTGGCATCTTTGTCAAAAACTTATAGATCATAAATTTCCATTTTTAACTCTATGCCATTCAACTGTATATTTATCCTTATAACATTATAACACTGTTTTGATTACTGTAGTTTTGCAGTGAAGCACATTTTGAAACTAGGATGGGTGAGCCCCTAACTTCGTTCCTTTATTTTCAAGATGACTTGGCCATCTGAGGTCTCTCTCACTTTCATAAGAATTTTAGTATCAACATCTGCAAAAAAAGAAATCTGGGATTTTGATAGAAATTTCATTAACTCTCTATATCATGTTTGGAGTATTCCCATCTTAACATTATTAAATCTTTTAAATATAGGGTGTCTTTCCATTTATTTAGATCTTTTATTTCTTTCAATAACATTTTGTAGTTTCCTATGTGCAAATCTTACACTTATTTTATTAAAATTATTTCTAAGTATTTTATTTTTTTCATGCTTTTGTAAATAGAACAGTTTTCATTTTCTCCAGCTTTATTGAGGTATAACTGACAAATAAATTATATCTATTTGAGTATAAAGTGTGATGTTTTGATATACATGTACATTGTAAAATGATTTTAACAATCAAGTTAATTAACATATCTATCACCTCACATAGTTAGCTTTCTCTAAAACTTCATTTTCAGATACTAATATGCAGAAATGCAATTGATTTTTTGTGTATTGATCTTACAGCTTACAAACTAGTTGGACTTTTTTAAAATTTCAATTATATATTTCAGTGTTATCATCTCTAGTCACCATGTTTTACATTAGATCCTCAGACTTTATTCATCTTATAGCTGAAAGTTTGTACCCTTATCAACCTCTTCCTATTTTCCCCACCC